CAGTACCTCTTAATTATGGGGTAATAAATTTGTACCCTGAAAATTTTTGGTTCACCTTCAAAAATAATTACCCATATTTTTCTATATTGTAGAAAGTATTAAGCTTTTGTAATAATATATAAATCTATTACATCAAAAAGCACAAGTTTATACAAGTTTTTTCTATTTATTTGATAATTGTTACTAATAATCTAACTAGCCAAGAGGTATTGGCAAGTTAGTTTTAAAATAAAAATATTATTCAAAATAATAATTACCTCTTGATAAAGTTTTTAGGTACTGTTCTTAAAAATAACAAATAGAAATCTTTTATATAATATTGATTAATTTCAATTAATAATTTTTATATATAATAAAAAATTTTAATATTTTTATTATATATAATTGAAATTATTTTACATATTTAATTAAATTGAAAATTTTGAATATGAAAATCAATAGAAAAATTGATTTGGTGGTTTTATTTATACAGTATATCTAAAATCATTATCTTATCAAAAAAACCATCAATCATTTATGTTTAAGTTGCCTATATTAGTAAAATAGTTAATTTTTTGATAGGTAAATATTAACAATGTAACTGTTTTATATTAATTATATAATAGAATTGATTTTTATAATAAAGGTGATAACTATTTTTTAATTAACAAAAATTTATTTATTTATTTATTTTTAATCATAATTTGTCAATGTTGACTGTATGTTTGGATTCGAATTGTAAACATTCAGTTTTATATACAAATAAAAAGATTTTTTAAATTGTATCTTGTAAGTTTATTAGAAAAAAAAATCGTCAAAAATTATTATTATCTGGTCATCTTGGAAAAACTAGCCATTTTTCTCAAAGAGATAGAATTGTATATAATATTTCTTTAAGAAGTAAGAGAATTCTAATGACTATTCTGTTTTTAGAATGTGATATACAAAAAAATTTTTTAAATAGATATGCTAAAAAAGAAAAAACTGGAAATTTTATTTAAAGATATTTATTTTAAGATACATCAAACACAGACCATCGGGATCTTAATTTAGAAGCAGATTCGGGGAAAGGATTTTTGTCATGTAGAAGAATACCATTTGATGCCAAGTAAACTGAAACGGTTGATTTATTGATTTTATCAATGGTCCGTCCCAGTCAATCGACTTGCTATTCTTTTATTGCAGGCAAGTATTCTTGGAATGCAGTGCGTGTGAAGTTTTTTTCGAGTATTGTGTGATCTCAGCGAAAGATAATATCGCAAAGATTGAGAATGCTGATATAGATCAAAAGTAACACCGAATCGATCTAGACTAACTGCGTACATATCGGTATGAATGCGTATATATCGGTATGAAAATTCTAATTAAGGACTTATCGTGCTATATTCTTTAATAAGCAGTTGAGAGATTTGTTGATTTGTTGATTGAACGTGAAACATTTGAGTGCTCCTGCATCTTACACCATCACACGTGTATGACACCTCACACCTTTGCGCCTTTGTTTTGGTAAATCATGGTATCATTTAGAAAATCTAGCAATTGTTTTTTATAATTGTTCGAGTATTCCTCTAGACCGAGGAGATTTTTTTGACAGGAAACGCATAAATGTTTGGCTTTCGAGATGTACGAATGTCAAAAGTTAAAACGCATAAATCATTTATTATATAAGTCACACGTAACAAGGTGACACGATATTTACGCGGACTATTAATTAGCGACGATACGATAATGGGCGTGATTTCTTTAGTTTATATTGTTACAAAACTGTGGACACCGAATAAATATTCACCTAGCATTTTCGTCACCGTCGCAACCAACTAAACATCGAACAATGTATAACCGGACAAAATAGGAGGAACGAGACGATCATAATCTTCACATATTGTTCTGGTTTTATGGATAATACCAAAATAAAAATTCGAAACACAAGATCCTCTATTATCATGTTTTGGTTCAAGCTTACCAAAGTTTATGCAGGAATTTTGGAGTGGTAATTACGTTGTGGTAAGCTAATACTAATTTGTAGACCCCGGATTAATAAACCACAATGCGATTAACGTTAACATTTAGACATTGTCTTTATATTTAGAAAATAAAGATTTTTCATTTGCCACCAAAAATTAATTATACTTGTACATATTTAGTTGCATAATACCAAGGTTGCTTATAGATAATCGTAGCCTATTACGATTTACCAAAATGCAACGGTAATCAGGAATGTCCCTTGGGATGTAGAATGTAAATAATCATGGGTTTAAAATATGACACTTAAACTTTACCCCGTTTTTTCTTGATATTATTCATCGATTGGCAAATGGATGACGTTTGTGGAAGATCCGGAATTTTTAAATGTGAACAATATAAAATACTAACTAATAATAATGTATGATGATAATTATTCACCTAAAAAAATTATGTTACGTTCAAAACTTAATATGGAGAGTATTGATATCCCAATATGTCGACACATAATATTAAGAAGTTCAACCGCGCTATTTGACATATTAAGTCATAATGATATATTGCTGCATTGCTCTATATAAACCCCAAATCGCCCACCTGGTCGAAGAAAAAAAAATTCAGATCAAAAGTTCCAACAATAGCAACAGAGAAAAAAGCAAACCTTAGAAGCAACAACAAGAGATCACGCACACTCTTCTTTCTCCTCTAAAGACGCAAATTTTTCTTTACAAAAAAAAAAAAATGGCTACCACTGCAACATTAGTTCAAGAGCATATCCCCGAGTTAAAGGTCATTTGTCTCGACCATCCAACCACCTCCGCCACCTCTTCTTCAGCATCCAGTCTTCCCTCCATGATCCGTGAGATACCAATCAACTACATCTTGGAAAAACTTCATCGGCTGGGTCCCCAATACCTCAATGACAAATCGACCGCCTACGCCGAGCTTCATATCGACGGTTGTCCCAAGTCCTATTACGTTCACAGGGAATATCTTACCTTACAATCCAATTTCTTCAACGTGATATTCAATAACGGCGACATTTCGAATGGTGATGTGATCACCATCTCATTACCTGCCTCAGAATTATTTGATCCCATCTTAGAGTATTTCTATGATGGCGATGCCGAAAAGTTTTACGATTCCTTAAACGAGCACAATTATGAACGTGTGTGGAGAAATGTGGAATATTTGGGCATGGGTGATGAAGCAAGAGCAGTATGTTTGGCTTACTTTCAGAATGAAATAGGCGGTCAACACGAATGAGCAAATTTATAAGCGTTCACCAACTCCCGTTTATGCCACTTCCTGGATCAAAAAAATTCGTTTTTTTTTTTTTATTATCATTATCATTCTTGTAAATGTTTTTATTTATCACATCTTACATTTTGTTCATAAGCTTTTTCCTCTGAAAGGAAAATAAAAATGTAAATTTTCCGATTATTCTTTTTTTTTTTATAAAGTATCTCTTCTCTTAAGCAATTCTTGTGAAATATGATTTAATAATGTATATGAGGCAACGAATGTTGTAAATGAATTATGCATCGATTATGGTTCAAGCAAAAAAAAAATTATTTGTATACAAGCCACTTTCGGCACACTCTAAGATTCTTATCCGAGTGAATTTATCAATAAAAATCTTGATGATTTTTTGAAAATTCTGACGCATCCATCGAGTCCAAAAATGCTTCCATTGAATTATGAAACATGTTTCGGTTAGACAAAAAATAAATTCTCATCATTTACAGTATTTCACCTGACTGCCTCCTGAATTTGGCCTTTGTTGCAATGTCAGTATGACTTTATAATAATAACATTGTTGCATTCCGAATTTGTAACGAAAGCATAAAAAATTCACTGACCACATAAAGCAAGGGTTACACCATTCGTGAAGATAAATCAGGTTCCGTTGTAGTGCTAAATCGAGACAATACGAACAATCAAATTATGTTAGCGGTTCCGTTTTGGATGCTTCACTTTAAAACGTAAATGTGTTTATGTTAAAGAAAATTGTACAAGGTGTACAACGTTAGATGTCGAAATCAGTAAGAAAGATCACACGTGATCAAACAATGTGCCACGGCTAAATCAAAGTGTGCACTAAACCACCGATCGACTGTCGTTGATCGATGGCAGTTTTCACTTTATTTTTTATCACGACGGCAAATACTCTATCGACTTTGTTTTTAAAAATTCTAATCCTAATAATTTATCAATTCACATTTCAAACCGTCACTCTCGTCCTTGGTGGACCGTCATCTTTGGCGCATCCATATTATTCAAGTATGTGGTGATTATCTCATCGCGAACCTCGGGCATATTGTTCAGTATCAAAAATCGTGTATCATCCTGAAATTTAAAAGTTCAAGTGTTGTTAACACAACTATTATTTCATGTAATAGACGAAAACGATAAAATCTGGGCCAAGAAGTAATAATACTTTGAGCACATCATGAATCTCTTCTAGCGTGAGTTTGCGCGCTTTCTCCTTTTCGGCACCAGTCTCGTCTTTCGCTCCGTTCTCTGATAATTGAACCATGCGTGCCCTATATTCAACGAATTGGTTCTCTTTCAAAAGATCGCGAAATTCTTCCTTAACCCGTTCCAACTTCATTTTCATATGATCGTTAAATAATTTTTCCAACTGAGCTTCGTCCTTAGAAAGTCTTACTGCTCGCGGATCTTCCTTGACTATTGGATATACCTCGAGCCAGGTGGTATCCAGCTTTACGTGTTTTTCAAGAAGCTGATTGTACGATTTAAGACGGTTTTGATATATACCATCAATGTGCTCATTGAAAAGACGTTCTCTATCGGCATCCTCTAACCCTTCACCGTTGAAACGATGATCACGTGCTAAATCGGATTTCTTGGATTCCCATATTGTCTGAATGGTGAGTAGATATCATGAGTGAATTTGAACGAATAGAATAAGAATGTCTTAGTGAAATCCCGTGATGTATACCTCGTGCGTTCGAACCAAGTCAATTAGCAGGGTTCGAAATTCACGGATGGACTCCTCACGCATCATTTTCTTTTTCACCATATTTCTGTCATAATATTGATTTTTCCGTTCGTTCCTTACTTGAGCTTCTCGGTTTCTCAAGCTTTCTTCTTCCCTATAATTAATATATAACTTGGTGATCCAATTTTGCCAACAGTGGAGGAAAAATAATAAATACCTTTCTTTACGTTCTCTCTGCTTCCTCTCTTGTTCTTTCCTTGCCATTTCCTCTACATCCTCGGCTTCAAGTTTTTTGCAATACTCTCTGAACAATTCTTCCCTTTGTGTAGATGACTGAATTGCTTCGTATCTTGGATCGTCATCAATCAACCTTTTAACCTTTGAAGGTATTGTTATGTGAGTGCATGCATTACAATTGATTATATGTATCTCGATATTAGTTCAAACAAACAAGTACCCTACGCCAACTTGAATCTGATTCAATCTCCCTCGTCTCCCTTAAGAGTTTCATGAAATCCTCCACGGCTTTTTTCTGTTGTTCTCGTTTACCTAATGTTAAGAATTAAATTATAAACATGAAGGATGATTCAAGAAACAAGAATGAAGGTGAAAACCTACGTTCGGCCTCTTTCTCTTTCAGATCCTTGACATGTTTGCGGAATAATTTTTCTCTTTCCTTATCTTCCGAAAAATTCTTAAATCTTGGATCTCTTTTGAAACTTGATCTGAAGGAGTCCCAATGTGAACGATAAGAAGTTTCTTCTTCCAACAACTTTAAGTATTCATCTTTTTCGGACAAAACCTGTTTACGAAACACAATAAAAATAAATCATAATAAAATAATGGATACTATTAAGCCGCTTTCTCTTTTTTTAAAAAAATAATGTTTCACCTTTTTTTTTTCGGCTCGCAACTCTATAACTCGTTCTTTGCAGAATTCGTCAAATAATTCCTTTTTCTGTTTCAATGTTGGGATTACTATACAACATAACAACAGATAAAGTTTAGTAACACGCACGGCATCAACAGTCGATGACCTGGATATGATATTGCTTACAGGTATATCTAGAATCATGTATAATTCTTGGTAATTCTTTTTCCCACATTGCGAATGGTGACACTTCCATTTCTCTTAAAAGGGACTGAAGACGAGCAGATTAGCGATAGTATTCTGGATCGTTATGAATTGAAATGCTCTTCCTTTAAAATAACGTGATCCATACTTTGAACCTTGATGCACGCTCCTCAGGCGAAAGATCAACGTCTTTGCCTTTTTCCTCGTTTAATAGTTGAGAGCCTTCATCACTCATCGCGTGCTCCATTAATTGATCACGCGATTCATTCGGTTCTGTCTCATAATCTTGATCTTCCTGCTCCTCCATAAATTGAAGCTGAAAGGCAATGTCTTCCTCGGTCAATCTAAAACTAAAGGTGTAAATAGTTGTCCTTTCTTCAAAATTAAATTTTTTCATTCGTGGAAAAAAATACGCACTCTGTTCCTTCATTTTCCATCATCCCTGAGCCTCCTTTTGCTCTCTTTGCATCTTCACCAATCATCGTCTCATCATCATCCTCCGCTTTCCTTTTGGTTCCAGTCTTATCCTGAGATTTTTGATTTTGCGACTCCTTTGCTTCCTGTTCTTTAATAGCCTTGACTGCCTCCGCAATTTCTTCGGGAACTTCCCACAATGATTGTTTTTTTTCGGAATTGTAATAAAA